GGAATCAGAGAGTAGTGAGGTTGGCATTGGCACCCTCAGCCCCTCCAGTTTCAGACTTGTTTCTCATTATCTTTTCATGACTTTAGAGACTGGCTTGTTATCTCATTTTAGCTGCTTTTATATAACTTTTTGTATGTTGTCTCTTCCCACTTAAACAAGGAGCTTCTTGAAAACAGGGACTGCTTTTTGCTTTTGTATCTCTAGCTCTTAGCACAGTACCTGGCGTATAGTAGTGTTTAATAAATACTAGTTGACTTGTTGTTCAGTCATCTCAGTCTTCAGCCTCCATTAGGGATTTTCTTCACAAAGATATGAGAGTGATTTGCCATTTCCATCTCCATCTCATTTTACAGATGAGGAAACTGAGGCAAACAGGGTGAAGTTACTTGTCCGGGATCACATAGGTGGTGTCTGAGGCTAGATTTAAACTCATGTCTTCCTGACTCCAGGCCCAGCACTCTATCCACCGCACCACCTAGACTAAAGCATTAGTCCTTGCAACATGAATTTCTTTGCTTTAAGATTTTCATTCTGTTGATTATCTCTTTGATGTGGGAAATAAAATATGGAGAATAACTTTTTTTTTAGTTCATTCTAGAAACCTATATAATTCTGTAGGTTGGAGCTAGCTGATAGACCCTGGTTTAGGTTGTTGTCACTGGCTTGGAGTCTTTTTTCTGTTTATTTGAGAGTCACTTTAGAATCTTAGATTTAGATCTTGAAGGGACCTTATAGACCTAAACCTCTCATTTTACAAATGAGGAAACTGAGGCCCAGAAAAGGTAAGTAATTTGCCCACATTCACACCTGTCTTAATTGTCAGAGATGGTATTTGCATTCAGGTCACCTGACTCCAGAGCTAGAACTCTTTGTTTCTTTGTTAAATTGATCATCTTTGTGTGTAGGGGGAGGAGTTTTATGGAATATGAAAAGAACTTCTAAGAATTCTACATGTCTAACTTTTTATTGAAATGATTGCGTTATTTGGGGGAGGGCTGGGCAGCAGAAAGAAAGCTACTTTAAAGTTATTATAGATTTTTAAGATGTTTTTAACGTCATGTTTTCTTAGTTGATGATAAAAAGTAATACATGTAATTATATATTTTTTAGTCTGTGCTATATCATTGTGTCTCCCTCTTATGTAGTCTGTATTTAGATATTTAATTATATAGTCCTATAAATATGTCTGTGTTGATTCTGTTAATTTTAACATTTAAACTCCTGGAGAATAGTGTTGGCTGTACTTACCTTATATCAATTCCTACTGTGGTATTATATCAATGATTATTCCCATGAGGGAGATGCTGATAGCATATGGTTTACTTTGGGGCCAGGTCAGAGGGAGCATCAAGGACCTAGTAGCAGCCAACAACAGATTCCTTAGAGTCTGTGGTCCATGGACCCCAGGAGAGCTTCAAAGTAAATTTTTGATTAATCTACTGAAAGAACCAAAGAAGCGCTAGGCATCCTTATTCACATCAAGGAAGTCATTTGGGGATTGCATCATATAAGTATATTCAATAACAGCAATAACCTAATTCCTGTTATCTCTGAAGTGGGAGACAAGGCTGTATCTTGCAGACAGGTTAACACACAAGTGTTAACTATAGGTGTTACATACAGGTGTTCCTATAGGTGGAACGGAGCTGCCATTGTTGCCACCTCTAATCAGTAGTAATAATAACAATTTGTTAGCATTATCTGTTCATCTTCTCCTCTGCTACTTCATCATGAATGGAGGCAACCCAGAGTCCTTGAAGGCTCTATCAACTGAGTAGAAATTCTGGCTATTCTTACTAATTTCGAAAGGCTAGATCACAGGCCCAGTGTTAGGGCTGTATCTGTGGTATTACTGGAGCAGCCTAGATAAATCTGGAAAGGTTCATCACCAAATTGACAGCAGAGTGATGATTTTTTTTTTTTGGCCACGACAATTCTGTAAAATCATCTGGATTATAAAGGGATTACAATTTGTATCAATGGTATCTTAGGCCACAAGGACCTTCTGATCAAAAGGTCACAGAAAGGGGTCTCTTCCCTTTTCCTCACACCTTCTAATCCTAGATTCCACCCTGGGCCCTATACTTTCCAAGGCAAAATTGGGATAAACAAAGTAAAAAAATATAAATAGTGAAAAAGTCTGTTTTCCTAGGGCTTGACCAATTTACATAGGCACGGAAGTCTCTCCATTGCTGTAGGAATTATAGTCACCTGAACCTGATTTTAAATCAAGATAGTAAATGAAGTTGTCTATTTCCCACAGTGAAATCTGGGGTAATGATACCTTACCATTGATTACCACGAGCTTGGTTTTCCTTTGAGTTAATGCCTTATATCAATAGCTTGATAACTGACAAGGAGAAGGCAGAGCTAAGCTTATTTTGTTTCTATTTTGTCTGCAAAGGAAAATGACCTTTACATTGGAATTGATGAAACAAAAATAACTAACAAACAGGGAGTTGATACCTGAGGTAAATAAGGAGATAGTAAGAGAGTACCTTTTTGTTGTGATGAATTCATAAGATGAACAGCATTGTCAGGTCCTGAACAAACTGACAGATGAAATTACTGTAATATTTGAAAGATGTTGGGAAATGAGAGCAGTACCACAAAAGGGAGGAGGGCAAGTGTTGTCCCAGTTTTCAAAAAATAGAAGAGAACAGTGTGTGCCAGCTGTGGGTCAGCAAGCTTGGCATGGTTTCCTGTGAAAATTCTGGAAGGGGTCATTAAGGAGATGATTAATAAACATTTGGAAAAGGAATTGGATATAACAGAGGCTTCATCAAGAGGAGTTATTGCCAAAGAAGCATCATTTCCTTTTTGTTTTGTGACAAGATTACTAAATTAGTAGTTGATGGGAATTCTTTAGCTATAGTTGACCAAGATTTTGGCAGAGCTGTTCATAAAATATGTCATACTATTCTTATGGAGAAGATGGAGAGTTATAGATTTGACTAGGGGTCAGCAAACTATGGTCTATGGGCCAAATCCTCCTGTATCTTGCTTTTTGTATAGCCAGAAAGTTAAGAATAGGGTTGGGTTTTTTGGTTTTGGTTTTTTTTTTTACATTTTAATACACTAAAATTATATTTTAGAATGTTTAGAAAACATTTTTTAATTTGCTGGCTGTACAGAAATAGACCACAGCCCATATTTGCCCTGTGGTCATAGGTTGCCAACCTCTGAATTAAACTATAATACAATCAAATGGATGTAGAATTGGATGGATGGCCAAACTCAGGGAAGTTGTTAATTGTTTAATGTCAGTGTGGCAGGAGGTCTTCAGTGAGTAACCCACAGGCATCTCTGCTTAACCTTATGCTGTGTGACATTGTCATTTGTGACTTAGATGGGTATCCTCATCAGAAATGCAGATGACACAAAGCTTGAAGGGATACCTAACAAAGTGGGTGAGAGGATAAAGCTCCAAGGGGATCCTGACAGACCAGAGCATTGAGCTGAGTCAAAAAGATGATATTCAATGAGGGTAAATAAAAAGTCTTGAGCTTGGCTACCAAAAATCTACCTTACAGTTATGAGGAAAAGATAGAGATAGGTAACAGTTTTTTTCTGAAAAAAGATTTTTAGAGGCTTGATATGAATAATAACCAAAAAAGTTAATGCAGTCATGGGATGCATGAAGAAGGATATCACTTCCAGAAACTGGGGAAGAGATGGTTCCATATTTCTCTGCCCTTGTCAGACTCCCATTTGGAATCTGTATTCTGTTCTGAACACCATGGTTTAAGAAGGATATTGATAAGCTGGAATGTACAGAGGAGGTCAAACCAGGTCAGGTTGAGCCCATGACATCAGATTGGTTGAAAATGTCATTCATGTATAGCCTAAAGAAGAGACTCAGGGAAGCTAGGTAGCACAGTTGATAGAGTGCTGGGTCTGGAGTCTGGAAGACCCGAATTCAAATCTAGACTCAGACATTTACTAGCTATGTGACCCTGGGCAAGTCATTTAATCTGTTTGCCTCAGTTTCCTCATCTGTGAAATGGGGATAGCACCTACCTTCCAGAGATGTTGTGAAGGCAAAATGAGATAATAAGTATAAAGTGATTAGCAGCCATGCCAGGCACATAGTTAGAGCTAAGTGATGATGATGGTGATGATGATGATGATGGTGATGATGATGATGATGGTGATGATGATGGTGATGGTGATGTTGATGGTAATGATTTGATAGCTCTCTTCCAGTACCTGAAGGTCTGTTGTGTGGAAGAGGTATTAGGCTTGTTCTGTTGGGCTCCTGAAGGCAGAACCAAAAATAGTGGGTAGAAGTTGCATTTAGGCTTGAGGTGAGGAAAAACTTCCTAATAAATAGATGTGCCCCAAAGTAGAATAGGCTACCCTAAAAGGTGATGAGTTCTCCCTCTTGGGAGGTCTTCAAGCAGCAGCTGGACAGTTCCTGTCATCATGTTATAATGGCATCACCTTTGGTGAAGGAGATGGACTAGAGGAAGGCTAAGGTTCCTTCTGTCTCAGAAATTCTGTAATTCTCAATTGTGACCAAAGGAAGCACCAAGGTCACAGCTGTCTGCAGGCCTAAGACGGAATGTTTTTCAGTCTGAGATCATGTATCATATCACATCAGGGAGACCATCAGTTCATCACACAATTAATGAAAGGTTTGAGAATCTTGCCGCCATCTTGAGGTGTAAATGAGCACAGCACAGCCATGTCTGCCTTGACAACACACAGAAGTCTTCATGTCAGCTTTGCATATTTAGTAGCCTTAGAGTAGAAACAAATTAAATAGAAAGACAGTTAGAAGTTGGAATAAATAAATAACAGTTCTGTGTTTCCTTCAGCTTGCTTTACACTTGGCATCTCATGTAGAAAAACTCTTTCTTCAAAATTCTTCCCCAAGCCTGAGTAACCAACTGGAGTTTTCTTTATTTTCATTTGTAAACCCTCTGGATGCTTGTTTCCATGGCTCTTAATTTGAAAATTCTCTCTCTTTTTTTTTTTTTTTTTTTTTTTTTTTTTAGACCTGAGCCTTCACAACTTCAGTCATCAAGCAAGGAACCGTTCTCATCTGAAAATATGTCCTTAGAAACCTTAAAAAACAGTAGTCCAGAAGACCTTTTTGAAGATATGTGACTGTCTCCAAGAAACACTTTAATGATATTTGATTATAATCCTTTTTTTTCTTTTTTCTTTTCTGTCTTAAACTTAAGGAGCACAACTTGACAGTGGCTATTACACCTTATAATGTAATTATATACACAGCATTGAAACAATTGTACAGAATGGATTACACATGTATCGGATATGATTTCCTGACAGTAGCTCATTATTCAAAGCTGTTCCCGACCACACTCCTCTAATTACATCAAATCTCAAAGTCTCTCCAAAGCCTGCATCTGTTTTATCCAGCACACATATGCTCTCTATGCAGTCTGTCTAGCACACTATGTAAGATGATTTTAGAATAGGATCAAGAAACTAGCCTTAGCAATTTAATTTCTGAATTTTCCTCTAAGCATTCCCAAAGATAAATATAGATATTTGTGGTTGTTTTTTTTTTAATTGAAGAATAAAATATGACACATATCTATTTTTAGTATGCGGTTACATATCCAAAGCACCCAATAATAAAATTTCTGATACCTTAAAGAATCAGTGTCCTTTAAAGAATACATTATTTAAAGTATTTCATTCCTTTCCTATAGAGGCAAGCTTAGAAAAAAGCACCTAAGGAAGGGAAGGTGATACTTTTATATTGCTTAAGTGGAAAGAGGCAAGTCCATTGGGATTAGGTGATAAAGGTCCCAGATACCCTTCTGGAATTCCCAAGGCCAAAATAATCCTTTATTTACAAGTGAAATGAGCTAAGCTGTTAAAGCCCATTTCCTCAAAGAGGCTTGTTGAAAGAGTGAGAGTTCACCAAAGGAAGTATGTATTTGATGCAAAGAAATAAGTACTTCAGAAAGCTCAAGTTATCTGTTTTGCTCTGCTCAATTATATATACAGTAAAAACTCACCATAGCATTGAGGTCAAGAAACAGAAATGACATCCAAGTGATTGGCTTTGGGGGTGAGAATGAGAAAGGAACTCTATTCATCATTCTGTACCCTAGGGATGAGAGCTACCCAAGCTGATGAGAGAGCAAAGCATTTTTAAACAGAATTTTACTGGGTTTTTTGTTGTTGTTGTTTTTTGCTTGGGGAGCTTACCTTGGGAGAAGAGGAGAAATAACACATAAAGTCATACTCTGCTTAACTACATAGGAGCCTTGCTCTTAATGTGACCTGCTAATAAGAGTGTGAAACTCTCAGTAATTCAGATTTGTCACCAATCCTGTTACTGAAAGGACCAAAAAGACCTAATTAGAGCAAGGTCTCATCTATAACAAAGCCCTACAATATGAATTTAATTCAATACTTGCATTCCTGCTTTAAGCATAAGAATACAGGATGTTATATAGAACCTGAGTTTCAACTCACTTATGTTATTATTAACAGTTCACATGTATTTAGAGCTTTAAGGTTTTCAGAGTACTTTACTGGAATTATCTCATTTGCTGTACAGTAATTAGACAAAATTAGTATAAGTCTTGGAGTTAGGGATGATAGTAAGAATAATAAACTAAATTAAAATAAACTAAATAAACTTTTTTAGTTTATTTATAATAAACTATAATAAACTAAATAAACTAAATTAGTAAGAATAATAATTTTTAGACTTGTAGTCTCTTCCATACTTTGTATTTAAAGAAAATGTGAGATGATGAGTTTATCAAGATTACAAAAATAATAATAATATTAATACAATATTGTAATAATATTTAACAGAATGTGATTTAATACATAATCATAATAAAATGCTGTTATTGAGGTTCATACATTCTTAGTGTCCACCCCATTGTTTCATTCATTTCAGTTGTACAAGTTATTAAATGTTTGGTATAGTAGAGAAAGCTCTCCGGGAGCTCGGGTTCTATTTGCATCTCTTTAGTAGAGTCACCCTGAAACATCCTTTCGCCTCTCTCGACCTTAGTGATTGAGTTATATGAACCCAAAGGTCCCTTCCAACTCTAACATCCTCTGACTCTCTGTTTATTCATAAACATAAACAGTACCCAAAGAATGCAAGAATCCAGCTCATTCTGACTCTGAAGCCAGCTATCTGCTCGACTAGACTTCCTATTTTATTTTAAACAATTCATTATCATTTATTAATAAAATTATTATTGTTGAGGGCTTGGTTGACTTTTAGCTTGACCTCAGGTCTCTGTCCATGTGGGCCAGTGAGTTTTCCCTTTTCCAGTGGCCTGCAGGTATGTTCGTTTCCACTAAGTACAACATTTAAGCAGCAAAATACCTGTTTTAGGTAGAGATTGACTTACTTGAAATTAACAAAGAGTTAGGTTGGAGCTAGTTTGATTGTACATAGTGTCACCCTAATAATAACTAACTGACCAAAAAAGATCATGGGCAATTTGCTTAATGTCTTTCACCAGAATTGTGAGGATCAAGTAAGATAATACAGGGTGTCCCATAAGTCTTGGTGCAGGTTTAAGCTATGAATATGTATAGGTAAAGTGAAACATTAATGAGTTATTATAATCTCATTTAATTCTCCCAACATTAAGGTAAATACCAACAATATTATTTTTCCCATTTTACAGATGAAGAAACCAAAGTTTAGAAGGGCTACATAACTTTTCCCAGTCTCACAGCTAATGAGTTAGAAGTAAGATTTGAAACCATATCTTTCCTGACTTCCTCCATTATAGCACAGTGCCTTTTCCTGTGTAGGCCAAGATTCAAAGTGATGGCACTGCTAGATATCTGTTCATGGAAGCAATTCTTTTTACTAAGTGGCAAAATGACACCTAGGCCAGTTGAATGGTAAAGCTTGACTCTTACATTGCTCTCTCTTAATTATATTCTCACCTGGCCCTACTTGACACCAAGGGCACATGTGTATGTGTGAAAATTACTTGCAATTAGGAATTTAGTCTGAGGCCATTGAAAAAGGGAAAATTCACTGGCCCACATGCACAGGGACCCTCGGTCAAGCCAACAGTCAATCATTGTAATAATTTTATTAATAAATGATAATAAATTACTGACAAGTAATCAGTTAAGCATCTAGTATAGCAGAGAATGTGATTACATGACAGTTTTATTGATTCTGGCCAAGATTATATTTGTAACCATAAGAAATCAAATGTCTAGTATCTTAATTTTTTTTAAATCAGAGTTGATTATCTGTAAACCATGAACTCCAAACATAGACAGTTAATGCAATTTTGCCATGAACTATAAGAGTTGTGTATACAAGTGCAATGTAATCACCAAAGGCCTATTAATTGATAGCTGTTGCCTGATTTAAAATTTTTCAGTGCTTTTCATTTGTAAAGTGTTTCACTTATGTGAAATCATTATTTCTGCATTTTAAAGAAATGACATAGAATAGTATACACAATATAATAGAATTAGCTTTCTGATGTTTTCATTGGCTGAGTACCAGAGAAAACCTTCCCTAAACTTGGTTCTTAGTGATCTTTTTCTCTCCAAGTATTTGGTATTTACTTACCTGTTTATATGTAATTGTATAGTCCTAGAGATCTAGGGCCATTTTTGTTTCAGTCTTTGTATCCCCACACATCTACAAATTCTTTCCCTCCTAACCTATTCTTTCTTCCAATTGTATTCTTTCACACACACTTTGTTACCTCTGGTCTCTCTCTCCCACTCTTTTTCTTCTCTCTTTTGCTGGTCCATGTGTTATTTATCCTTCAGAGGTCTTGTAGCCCTTCCTCCAACCCACAATACCACTGGTCTTTGATTTCCTTTTTGAGGAAGACCCATGGTCTAGTGTCATCTCCACTTTAAAGACATCTAGGACTGCTGTCCAAGAGATAAGAAAGTTCTAAAGGCTCTGCATCTAGCTCTTGGGTGATGACTGCCTATTCTAGATATCAGCATAAATTCAAGGGCCAGTGGTGGTGATTAATTCAAAGGCCAATCCCAAACACTTTTTTTCACTATAGAAACAATTCCCAAGTAACAGGCTTCTACAACAGCCAGACAAGCCTGGGAAAATCTATTGCAGATACGGACCAGAGAAATTTTCATTTTATTCCAACTGTTTTCAATTAACAAGTTATCACTAATTACCATAGTCATTAGCAGAATATTTAATTTAACCTAGATTTGAATAGGCAATTAAGTTGTTGAATGTGCTGGGAAAATAAAAAACATTCTTCTAGGACATTATTCATGTAGAAATTCAATTAAAATGCCTAAACTTAAAGCTAAGGTCACTTCTGCAATAGTTATATTTTGAGTTTACTAACTTTTGAAGTCTGTGTCAAGAGAACTCTGAGATTGCTATGATCTTGTTCCATATATTAAAAAGCTTAGTAAATAAATACTGTACCCTGCCACCACCGTTGCCACCACCACCCCTACCCAAAAAATGAAGCCCTCACTGATCCCTCACTGATTTTTTTTCCTGGCTTACCCTCTTCCACGGGTAGATAAATTGAATGGAAATATCCAATGTCTTTTATTTTTAATAGGTGCCCAGTGTCAATTTTTACTTACCCTGGGCAAATCATTGAGGGAATTTTTCCCAAGATGATGTAGCAGGATGCTGGAACATTTTTGTGAGATGACCATTTCTTTTCTCTCATTCTCCACCCAAAATATCTGAGTTTCTGATTAGCCTGAAAACTGTCTGAAATTTTCTGTCTAATTCTTCCCGTACTTTCTCCAGCTTGTTGGGGAAGTGATGTATAACATGACTCCCACTCAAAGAATGTCTAGGAAGTCTTGGCATTTTGAACTTTCCAAGGACAATTCAGTTGAATAGGCCCTGGATACTTTATAGTGCTAGACCTCAAAGGACAGTGGGATATCAATTCAAGGGACTGTTATGATATCTGCACTCTGAAGGACCCATTTAGCAGGTTGAATAATTTACCTTGTGGTTACTGACACTGAGTCACCTAAGAGAATGGAACAGTGTGTGGAGTGAATTTGGTTCGGGAGACATAACAAATTACAAAAAGATAAATTTTTTGTTAGAGAAAGGCATTCTTTACAGTAATACATGTGTTAATACATCAAATGGGGATTTTCAAGAAGATAGAATTTAATTAGGTACAAAAAGTCTTCAAACTATTTTTGTCCCCCAAAATGTTGTTGTCACTATGCTAATCAATTCAATTCAATAAGCAGTTATAAAGCACCTGTTTGTGCAGGGCACTGTGTTAGGTGCTGGACGTATAAAGAAACAAATGTCCCCTACCCTTATATTCTCCCTTACACTCTCTTGGAAGACTCAGTATGTATGTAAACAGGTAAGTAAATACAAAATAATTTGAGAAGGACAATCTCTAACAACTAGGAAGATCATAAAAGGCTTTCCCTAGAAGGTGACATGTTCCAAGAGGCAGAGGTGAAGGAGTACATTCCAGGCATGGGGGCACCTGTGCAAAGCAGCAAATATGGGAGATGCAAGGTTAAGTTCAAAGAAGAGCAAATAAGCTGATTTGGCTCTAAGAGTGCATTAAAGGGCATGCACTCAATGGGCAAGCATGTGATGAAAACTGATTCTAAATTATTTTTTCTGCCTAAAAATAATCCTGTGGCAGGCATTACCATATAACTTGCATCAATCATTGAAGGCAACCATTGTATACAGTAGTCTGTTTCTTTACTGGAGAAAGGGCTACCTGCCTCATAAAGTTCACTATTACCTGTAGTTGTTTCCTCTGATATTTCTTGAAACAGAGAATTTTTAATGCTTTTTGAATTTCAAAATTCATAAGAAAAAGATAAAACCTCAATCACCTAAAGTTCAGGTTTTTTCAATGTAATGCCTTTCTCATTGCCTCTACTTTTTTTTTTTTAACTCCTGAATAGAACAGACAGATTTTTGGTCTGTGGGGGAGGGAGAAAGTAGTTAAGAGGAGGAGACACAACAGAGCAGAAGAAGCACCAAGATCAGGAAGATGAGAAGGCAGCCTGACAGCTCTGGAGCGGAGCCTTGCAATTGGGTCCACTCACCCTATTCTACCAGCAATGAACTAGCTGTGGCTTGAAGAGGTGGAAGGTCCCTGAATGACAGCAACAAGAAAATTCATACCAAGGTGGGCATTGATCATGGGAGCTTCTTTTTCCTAGTCCAACAGATTCAGTCAGTGTCCTTGTGCCAAAGGATGAGACAAGATCCCAAGTCCCAATTTCCTGAGTCTTCATCTAAAAACTGGATATGTCAGTTGCAAAATGTATTGTGTTGCCTACACTTCTTTGCCTGCTGGTGAGAGACATGTGTGGGAGACACAAAATAAATTCAAACCATGTATTTCCCAGAATTCCTGGGTTTGGATCAACTTATGGACTAAACCAGGGGTGGGAAACCTACGGCCTTGAGAACACAGGTGGCCCTCTACGTCTTCAGGTGGGGCCCTTTGAATCCAAACTTCACAGAACAAATCCCTTTAATAAAAGGATTTGTTCTATAAAACTTGAACTCAGTCAAAAGGCTGCATTTGAGGATCTAGAAGAGGCCTCAGGTTCCCCACCCTGGACTAAACTATCTGGGGGAGG